ATTAAAAAAAAAGGTAGCATCCTAAGATACTGAGTATCGGGGGGTCATACAATCACATAAAAATTAAAGAAAAAAGAAAAAAGAAAAGAAAAAAGTAGGGAACATTGTTTCTTACCTTGATTCTAAGGAAGATTCTATAGTTAGAGTTACAGGATTCTTATTTTAGATGATGCCTAAGACATCAGCTACATCATTTCTCTTGTTTCAGGTCAAATTGGAACTCAGCATTTTACTCCTATCCTTACCCCCTTCATTTCATTCTTTTTATCTTCTGCAAAGGTATTAATGAACAGTTAATTGCTTAAGAATGGGCTTGCAACTATAAACCAGAGACACACTACGGGGAAGAAGGTGGAGGGAGGGACAGGGAAAGGAAGAACAAGAGTCAAAATAAGGAGGGAGGGGTGCAAGCATGGGGAATATAACCAAAATGAAAATGCATACATTTTGCAAAGATGAAAAATGATGTAAGAATTATATTAAAAAAAAAAAGAATGGGCTTGCTGACAAAGAAGGATGAATAAAGTCAGGAAACCAATGACAACAGGGAGTTTCAAAAACTGTTAATAGCCGATTACCATGGAAATCTGTAGCCCCTCTGAGTGAACAGATTAGACTGCAACAGCCTGCCTCTGACTCCCACCAAGTCCCACCTCACCCCCTGGTGCCATTGTGTCCATGGAGCTTTTGCAGTAGCTGCTGGTGTTTCCCTCACAGCCCTCCAGAGAAGAAAGCTCTCTGTTCTGTAGTTGCTGATGATAAAGGGCAAGGAGCCTGCTGGGTAATCCTGGAGGTGTGTTCTTATCTGCAGGGTTCCTTCAAGAGGAGCGCCTAGAGTTGAGATTTTGAGAGCCAGGTGGAGGAGAACCTGGGCTGAATCTGTACATTGCTTTAATATATGTGGACCCCAAACCATGCTTTGCTTGCACCACTTGGAGATGCCACTGACCTCATGACAGAGAAGAAGGCAGAGTGAAGGCGTCTGAGCAACAGAAGGAAGCAGAGGGAATATAGACTGTATATCCTTGGCAGAGCCCTTGACTTTTTCCTCCTATTCCTCCCCAGCTTCCTGTCTTAAGCACACATCCCTCAGACTCATCATTCTGCTTGTTTGTACTCTGGGAGCAATACTCCTCCCAGACGGTGTATGAGCTTCAGATGAACATGGTGGCCTGACCACGCCAGCCTGGGCTTGGGGAGGTGAGAAGCGTGCAGGACTGTAACTCACTCTAGGAGATTCCATCATTGGTGCAGGCCAGTCAGCCCATCCATTTTCTGTGGTTTGTCTCATCCTCACTAAGCTTATTAGCTCATCTCTATTTGCCATGTTGACTTTCGGTTTTCTTCCTTTGTTCAAGCCCCTGGGACTGTCTGCGGCATTACCTTCCTATGTGCTCACTGTCCCATGCCATGCCATTTGCAGATACTATTAACATGCCATTTACACTCTCCTGGATTACTAATAAAAATGTTCAATGAGTCAGAACCTGACATCTCGCTATTACCATCTGCAGGGTGTTGACATTTGTCATTAACCACAAGCATATGGCCTTGTAAGGCAGAAGTCAGACCCTTACCTTCATAGCAGTCTAAACTAGACTCATTCAAACTTGACTTTCAGCATTTGCTGTGATAAACACCCTCATTAACCACATCATTCGCTGCATTCAGCTATACAGTGGTGGCCTGTGTCACTCTCAGGGACCTGTCCAGGGTAGTGGGGCGCAAAGGAATAGCAGAGAATCATTGACTTCATTGTCTGGTTTCTTGAAGTCTGCAAGCACACTCCAGGGATGTGCTGTCCTCCGGCAGGTTGGGGGAGGGGGTGTTGACACAGGACTCTCTGCTGGCTCATTTGAGATGCAAAGCAGATTCTTTTCGGTTTAAATTATTGGCTGCTCTGTCTACTGTGATGAAATCCACACTTTAGCTTTTATATAACACAGATTTAGAAAATATTAATTATTTTATTTCCTGGGCTGAATTATTGAATGCCTATACATATATATATTTCAATTTTATGATTTGACTTTTTCTCTCTTTAATATTATTTTGGCTATTTAAAATTATCTTAGAATCTTCTCATTAATTCACTACTTTTCTTATTTATTAGCTTGATTTTATACCTTGATAGGAAATACTTGTTTTTCTGGAAAATTGAACTTATCCTCTGTGTATTTAACTCTGGACTATATGCACTGGTAAAATACAGTCTCACAAGTTTTCGTGTGCCCTCAATTTTTGGTGTGGGTTACTCTATTTTCTGTGGAGGCTTGTGTTATTCTTCAAAATTAGATGCTGTAGTTCATGCTGTTGTCATTATTTCTCAGGAGAATTAAAATTTCACTTTGAAATTTCTTGGAGTGATTTCTACGCTTTTAGTATTCTCTAGGATGGACTGTGAGTCTTCTGTTTTTGATCAGGAAGGAAATGAGACATAGACAAAATGATACAAACATAAAGCTCAAAGTAATAAGTGACATCATGCTGATGCCAATGGCTGAGGCAGTGACCCAGACCCTTCCACAGGTGACCTCGACAGACCACTGTTGTCACACAGAGCAGTGAATAGGAGAAGCCAGAGAAGTTGTGTAATAAAGGATCTGTTTATTAGGAGCACAGAATTTGGAATGTTTATATTAGGAATCTGAAAGTAGGAAAAGAGAATTTTAGAATCAGTAGCCAGTTATAGTGTTTCTTGGAACAGTTTCCCGGAAAAGGCAACAATACAGGCAGGATGTAGGTGAAAAATCGGCCTTTGTGAACTTAACCATATATTTAACTATGATTGATTGTATCAGGTGCTGAATTAAATGCTCCACTTGCATTAATAATAGTAATTGTGATTATCTCAATAATTATTGAGAATAATAATTCTCAATTATCCTTTAAACAACCAAGTCATCTTAGGTGAAGCAATGAAGTTTTCCAAGGTCAAACAATTCATAAGTGGAAGAGCTAGGACATCAGCCTACCTGATGTCAAAGTCTAAGCCCTTAATGATTGTTCTAAGTGTTAGTGAATTAAATGAATGTATTAGATGGTGCCTGTTATCAAGGCTCTTATTACTGAATGGGAAGGAGGCATAATTCATGTAAGCAAATTTTAAAAGTGGCATGATAGGCACTGTGATGGATGCATGCTCAGAGGTCATTGGGGTGCAAAGAGGGACATGTTCAATTCTTTGTAATAGAGGTGATGAGTCAAGATAGAAGGAAGTGAAAATGAGATGAACCTTGGAAGATAAGTTGACCAGAAATTTTTCCTCAAAACAACTTTCTACCCTGTTCTTTGGCTTCTGTATCACCTGGATTCAAATTAACTTTCAGAACAGTGTCTTTATTTATTTCTATTTTTAAAGATTTATTTATTTATTATTTCTATATTGAAGAACTCATGTGTATGCCAGAGGTGTGGGGGGGCGGGGTGGAAAGAGGATTAACCAGAGGCAGAGGGGAACAGAACAGGCAGATCTACTGAAATACACAGCTGAGGAGAGTGGCAGGCAAGACAGGAGAAGTCTGTTGTGCCATATGTGGATTAGCTCCCTGACGTGGGATTGAACTCAGGCCGTAGGGGTGATAGCATGATAGAGCTGAGACTTTACCCCTATACCAACAGGGAGGCCCCCATAATTCAATAACAACTGCTTCTTGAAAAGCTCTTTGTTTGAAGTTGAGCAGGAACACAAACAAAATAGGAGACTGGGTTTCAGCTGTACAGTAGTTAACGAGAGAACGAGGGTGCAAAAATTCAATTCAGAGCAGATGGAGATGAGTGTGGGTGGTTCTTTCATGTAATTTCCATGGAGAAGACAGTCCTGAAGCAAGTGGGGGCTGGAATTGGTGTGGTGATGATGGTATTCCTGGTGTGGGAGTAGTATGAGCAAAAGCCTGGAGTTATGACCTAGCATGCCACATTCAGAGGAGAGGCCAACTGGTCTGAAGTGGATGCTTCTGAGTGTTAAGTTTGGGTATTGAATTGTGTAGAAGAGGTGGAGTCCGCTTTCCCAAGGACTTTTCCTGAGGACATTATCCCTTGGAAATTCTTGTCGCCCTTGAGCCCCCTTGCTGCAGAGCCCACTGCCTGCCTGGTGGTACTCTTCCACCTCTTCCCGCTCAACTGTGATTGTCCTCCCCTACCCCCTTCCACTGCTGAGTAGGGACAGTCACTTCCCTGTAACTCACTTAGCTAATGGCAGTGTGACTTCAACTTCTTCTGGAGTTGAAACTTTTAGACTGTAAAACTCTTTGAAGTGTCTCTTGGCCTTGCACCTATCACAGCTTTCTGCCGTCAGATACAGCCTTGGGTACTATTGCTAAATGTCTCCTTCCTTCTATGGGCATGTGCTCTGTGTACTTTTCACTGAGTTCACTGCTGACTACAAACATGTAAGCCTGCAAATTCCTGATGGTGGTCTCTCAGGGCACCTCTGCTATAATGGAGGGTATTGAAGGAATTACTTGACATACCAAATTTCCTAAAGTCCCTTATCTGTAAGTTTGTGGTATTTCCTTTTATTTTTCAAACATGAATTAGAGTATTTTTTTTACCACAGAGTTCATTATCATTGTAATGGTAGGTCTTTTCACTGACCTCCCTTCCACCCTTCCCATCCCCCAGTGGTTTCAAATCTCTCTAAGTGGTTTTTTGGAGAAAGTAGAGGAACAGGAGGCAGTCTTAGTCGTTGTTGTGGGAAGTGGCTTTATTTTCCTGCTTGTCTAATCTTTCACTTTCAGATCAGTTATGAAAAACAAGTTCAGTGCCCAGTGTGGGCAACATCTGATCTGGGCACTATGGACAATGCCAATGTATACCAGCCAAGTCTCTGCTTCAGCCTATTGTAAGATGAAAGCAAATCACATTACCAAGGCAGTGTAGTGGGTTGAATGATGGCCCCCTCCATGTCATAATCCCTGGAACCCGTGAAAGTTACCTTATTTGGAAAAAAGGAATTTACACATATAATTATGGATCTTGAGATAAGGAGAAAGAACACCCTGTCTTATGTAGATGGGTTCAAAATCCAAAGACAATTAGCTTTATAAGAGAAAGGCAGAGATTTGAGATGGACATAGAAAAGAGATGCTCTGAAGACAGAGGCAGAGATAAGCATGGAGGGATGCAGCTATAAGCCAGGCAGTGCCAACAGCCACCAGAGACTCAAAATGGCAAGCAGTGGAATTGCTCCTTAAAACTTCGCATGAAGCATGGCCCTGAGGATATTTGGGAGTGTTCAGGGATCATCTCAGGAGTATCGGGTACATGAGCATAAACACTTACTAGTCCTTCCAAAATGAGTCATGAAATCAATCAGGTTCTTGTAGTTCAAGCGTAGCACATATACTTAAATTGCAGAGGTCACTGTTTCTTTGTTTTTAACTCATGTCATGATGATGTTTATTTCTTAGTGCCTCTGAGATTTAGCTAGTTTAGGCTGGTGGCCAAAGGGAGAAACCTCATTACATGGTAGCTATGACTTGGAGGGCCTGAACTCCCAAGAGGGCTTCGGGGAGATGGTTGCCAATATTTATAGGTAAACTCATCTAAGAAAGGAAAACAGATGCCCTGCCAAATTTGAGACACATGAATCAGGAGAGGATGGGGTGCTGATGTTATTCTATGCGTCTTGAATTTGTGGCCTGAGCTGTCTCAGTAGGCCATTTTATAGTCTCTGGATTATAAAAAGCCAACATTTACAGTGTTTCTGGCATTATACAAGTGTTTTACATGTGTTATCTCATTTAATCTGTATGTGAAACCCTATCAGACAGTATTGTATTCACTTTACAGATTAAAAAAAAAAAAAGAAACGAGACATTATCTTGTCCTTATTCTTCAAACATCATTGCATTTGATGAAGTCCTCAGACATTAATTTCATGGGAGCATTTCACTTGTTGAACACCAGCTGATCTGGCTACTGTTCCTCTCCAGGCTGTGTTGGTGAACTGACCAAAAGAGATCAGAGCAAACTGGGGGGCAGCGGCCTCTGGCCATGGGACGTTAGGGCTGTGTATTCTCCCTTTCCCCATGGGGAGGTCAGTGAGCAAGCTAACAAGGTCAGTGGAGCTCAGAAATAAAATTATCTTCCCAACAGTTTGCTGGCAAAAGAAACAGTTTCTACCCAGATCCGTCCTCCTTTCACTCCACAAGTCCAACAATTCCTAATCCCCCTGGCTCAGACCACTTTGTGATGATTTGTGGTATTGTCGCAACAAGATGCCATGCATGTGCTCTGGGGAGTAGTAGGACAGGGTGCAGGACCTCAGGTGGAGTACAGGGGAGCCCTTGAGAACTGGCAGCTGTCTTCAGCAAGAAAGATGGCAGCAGAATAAGCAGAGGTTCATTTATTAGGTGAGAAAGCAGATCAGCATCAGCATAGGCTGTGCTAGTGATGCTTTATCTATGCTAACACGCGGCTACTACCACAGAGTTAGGACCAGGAATACAGAGTGGATGGAAGTTTGAGTACTTCTGAGAAAGGAGCCAAGGAGCTGGCAAGGGCAAGCCAAGGTTCTGAGCCCATGTAGTCTAGAAACCAGGCTCAACCCCACACACCCAGATGAGTGTCTGGCAAGCCTGCAAAGTGGGCCCCCCAGCCTCCATCTTGCTCTGTGCCTTAACTTTCTCACCTCTCCAAGGTGACAAGGTACCTTAGGTTTCTTATTCGTCTAAGCTGACAAGAAGTGCAACCAGGTTTAGATTTCATTATGTTTGACTTAAGTGCTGGAGAACTCTTAAATTTGCCTGTTAAATTAATTCTTTGCCTGATGACAGCATGTACTTTAAGTTCAGTAAATCCTTCTCTCTTTTCCTTCTTTTCCTCTCTGTTGTAGTGTATATAAATAAATATATATATATATGTGTGTGTGTGTGTGTGTGTGTGTGTGTGTCTGTGTATGTTTGTGTATATATATTTAAAGGTATTAAGTTGTTTAACAAACTTTGCATAAGGGAAGCAGTGTCAAGGATAACTGGATTAAATTATTTCCAAACCTAATGTGCATGAGCTTCTGAGATCTACCTAGAATGCAGCTCTTCAATTCACCATGTGCAGTGCAAAAATCACAATAACACTTTCACATTGCTCCCCTTCCCATTAATGGTAATATTAAGAAATCCCTAAACTTCATTCACTGAAATTCATGAGCAAGTACACGTTGTGTCAATGTTTGAGATGTCATACATATAGTTAATTCGTTTCAGCCACAAAAACATATTATAACACCAAATTAATCTTTTAATGAACATATCATAGTGTCCAGTCAATGGTCATCTCTGGAGATCCATGGAGATCTAGATCTTCTTTGAAGTCTGGATTGCTGTCTCACATGTTACACAAATATCTTCTCAAAATGAATTAAAGACTTGAATGTCAGATCAGAAACCGTAGAACTCCCAGAAGAAAACACAAGGGCTAAGTTCCTTGACACTGGTCTTGGCAATAATTTTTTGGATTTTACACCAAAAGCACAAGCAACAAAAGTGAAAATAGAGAAGTGGAATTATAGTAAATTAAAGACAGTTCTGTATAGCAAAAGAAATCATGAATGAAAGGAAAAGGCAACCTATGGAATGGGAGAAAATATTTGCAAACAACGTGTCCAATATAGTTAATGTCCAAAGCATACAAAGAAATCATATGACTCAATAGCAACAAAACCCTGAATAATCTGATTAGCAAATGGGTAGAAGATCTGAACAGACATTTCTCAAAGAAGTGCAGGTGACCAGTAAGTACATGAAAAGGTGCTCAACATCACTAATCACCAGGGAAGTGCAAATAAAAACCACAAGGGGCCATTACCTCACACCTATTAGAATGACTCTTATCAAAGTGTTTGCAAAGATATGGAGAAAGGACAACCTGTGTGCTCTGTTGGTAACAATGTAAACTGGTCCAGTCACTATGGAAAACAGTATGGAGTTTACTCAAGAAATAAAACAGGGAACTACCATCTGATCCACCCACCCCTTTTCTGTGATTATATTCAAGGAAAAAATCATAATTTAAAAAAAAAAATCATATGCTATCCATGATAGCTGAGATATGGAAACAGCCCAAAGACTGTGAGCAAATGGATGGATAGAGAAAATATGGTATATGTATATTATGGAATATAATCTAGCCCTCTAAAAGGGAAATTCTGCCATTTCCAACAACATGAATAAAACTTGAGGGCATTATGCTAAGTGACATAAGCCAGACAGAGAAAGCAAATACTGCATGGTATCATTTGTATGTGGAATCTTAAAAAAAAAAAGTAGGACTTGTTGAAACAGTAAAATGTGCTGCCAGAAGCTGTAGGTGGGTGAAATAGGGGGAGCTGTAAAAGGGTACAAACTTTCAGTTATAGGATGAGTAAGGTCTGAGGATCTACTGTATAACATGATGACTATTACTGATAATAATACACTGTATAATTAAAATTACAGAGTGAGTAGTACTTAAATGTTCTCTCAAAAAAGGTCAGTATGTGAGTTGATGGATATGTTAATGTGATGGTAAGGATCCTTTCACAATACATATCAAATGGGCACCTGAAACACTTTAAATAGTTTTAAAATTATTGATTAATTATACCTTGGTTAAACTTAAAAAATAAAGCAGCCATGGATGAGTTGGAACTTACTATGTTGGAGACCAAGTAGGAAAATACTTAAAAACAGTGAATTGTCTGAAAGTTAAGGGAGATGTTAAGGAACTGACAGGATCCTTTCCTGTAACATTGGAGCAGGTCTTATCTACAGACTTGTTATATTAACTAAGAGACTCGAATTGCTATGATGAGCTCCAAAATGTGTATTGGTTGTGACACAGGAGAAGTTGATTTCTCCCTGGTCAACTGCAGTGGCTGTGGGACACAGGCTTCTCTCTCTCAAGGCTCCCAAAGTCCCTGTACTGGGCTGCCTGCAGCCAGGGGAAGGGAAGGAGAGGGTGGAGAAGGCACACTAGCTTTCTAGTCCTCCGTCCAAAGTGGCACACACCAGTTGTGCTCAGGCTCCACATTTCTGGAGACTGGACACTCACTCCACATGAGAGAACCGGAAGCATAGATTTCTAGCCATGACTCCATACCTTTGAAGGGAAGCATGTGTTGGGCCGATGTTTAACCTCCCTGTAAGAGGCTTGTGGTGAGATTTTCCTCAGGGTTTCTTTTTTTAAAGATTTATTTATTTATACAGGAACCAGGGCACAGGCCAAATGTGCGGGAGGGTGAGAGGATTTACCAGAGACAGAGTGGGGAACAGAACAGGTAGACTGATGAAATACACTGCTGAGGGGAGCAGCGGGTGAGACAGGAGAGGTCTGCTTCACCATGTGGGATTCTCGCCGGCCGGCCGGGATTGAACCTGTGCTGCAGAGGCTGCGGACAGCTTCAGAGTGCGCCGGTCAACTGCCTGAGCCACCAGGGAGGCCCCCTCCTCAGGGTTTCTTAAAGAGACCCACTGCCAGCTGTCCATTTTCATTTATATAGCATTAAACTGGCCATTCTATAGAGCAGGGGTCATGAGATTGTACTTCTGAGTATCCTGCCAACTCACTGGGTTTGTGGAGACCGGAGTGTGTGGAAACAACAAGTAAGGAAATTTCACTCTGAGGCCTTCCCTGAGCCACCTGTTTTCATTTCTTGATTTAGCAGGACAAGCTGGCCTTGTTCTGGACTCAGCATTCTCAGGTACCTGGCACCATTTCTGTAGTGTCTTGGATAATTGTAATCCCTGGATGTGTAGGCTTATGGGAGTCATTTTTCTATCTCTTCCCTCTGCCCTTCAACGTAACCCCTTACTTCAGTGTCCTTGGGAAGATGTAGATAAGAGAAGACCTGCCATGTTAGGTCTGTGATGTGACTTTTCCCCACTCTAGGGCATCAACTTATTATAGGGGAACAAAGAATGAACACTAAGATGGCAACCAACTATGAACAGGAGTTGAAGAGATGCTAACCATGAATTTTATGGAGTACATTCCCAATGACTCTATGATGATGTTAAAAATGTGTTAGGTTTTAAAAAGAACTTACTTACTTTTGCATTTACTGAGTACTCTTTTTTTATTAGAAGTGTAATGCATGGATAACAGTTTAATGCTGCTCCCTGCAGTGCTAATTTGTTATAGCACTGTTTGCCTCTGGGAGATTTTTCTAAAATAGATGTGTGTGTATGTAAAATAACTATGAAAACAGTATCTAATATAATACATATTTGTAAAAACTTCCATTCTCTGAGTCTTATTGAACCATAGAAGCAACATTATAGAATTCTATAGACCAGAAAAACTATCGGTTGGAATCAGCCTTACCTAATGTTAGAAGAAATTATGGTTACTAATTCTAACTTTGGGGAAACTTTGATAGGATGTCTTGTTGATAGGACTTTGATAGGACTTCTTGTTGAAGGAAGTCTCTTGAAAATCTCAGTGCAGGTTGCTCTACTATATGTCTTAATGAAGTATCTGAGAAGATATGTGACATTTTGTTGCTGTGAGTAGAGTGAACAAAATTCTCTGGTAGATGCTAGCCTGGTGGGGCAAAGGTCCTGCTTAAATTTAAAACTATTTATGTTTTACTTCTTGTCATCAAAACTGCAATCCTTTTCTTTATGCTTGCTCACATGAGTAGTAAAAGAAATAGACTTTCTAAGTCATTCTATATTTGAATTCCGTAATTTATTTTCTCATTCCATACTCGAAACATTAAAAAGTATAGTGTTAACTGGAAAGCTGATGATAACCAAAAATGTTAAAAAATGTGTTGCTGTACAAAATTGTAGTTGTTTACTTAAACTATAAATTGTACAGAAAATTGAATTTGTTTACTTAAGCTGTATATGAACTCCCTAGTCCTATGTTAATTAACTTACCACTCTCATAAATGAATTCACCAGCTTTATGTTAATTGACTTTCTACTAGATAGACTGTGTGTATTCTCTTGTTAGTCAGAAAACAACCATTTCTAATCTAGTTTTCTCCCTGCAGGACTGTTGAAAACAATGGGTGCCCCATGTGGATTTTGACCAAACATAGTATAGCGTTTCATTCCTCTGTAGGTTCTCAGTCAATGAAAGCCAGCTTTTTAGACTCTCCTTTCTTCTCAAATACATTAGTTTTTGTATTTTAGGTCAAGGGTCATTAATATACCACTGTGCAACTAGTTTTAGCCAATGACAGCTCTATCACTTGATCCTGAATTGAATGCATTTTGCAGTGCATATTGTTTACCTTGTCTCTTTATACCAATTACTTGTATTCTGGTGAGTTGTCTTGAGCCATAATAGTTGTCAAAAGTGTGTGAGGGAGCAATGGTGATGGTGCACCATGACCCAAATGAGAGCATCATGGTGTGCTTCTTTAAATTGAGTTCCATAGTCTATGGAGTTTAATCAAACACATTATTGAAGAAGCTGGGGGTAAAGCTTAGCAAGCTATTAGGGATTGGTGGACAAATTTGACATTTTGAATGACATCAAAGAGATGATTACAATCTGGGGATGATAGGTTGATGGATGGAGGTCAAGAGACACTGGTGAGTGTGGGGGATTTTTTTTTTTTAAAGATTTATTTTTTATTTATTTATACAAGCACTGGGCACAGTCAGAAGCACAGGAGGGTGAGAGAATTCACCAGAGCCAGAGCAGGGAGCAGAGCAGGCAGAAGGACCGAAGTACACCGCTGAGGGGAGCAGCGGGCTGCAGGAGAGGTCTGCGCGCCATGTGGGACCCTCCTCTGGTGGCTGGGGAGCAGCCGGGGATCGAACCGGCAGTGCAGAGGCTGCGAGCAGCTTCGCAACCCAGCGCTCAACCGCTGTGCCACCGGGGAGGCCCAGTGTGGGGGATTTTAAGGAAACAATCTGTAGTGGACAATTCTGGAGACAAATCCTTACCTGGGTGATGCCACAATAACCTTGTGAGCTCTGAAGGAGGCAAGGTTCCAAATTCAAGAAAGCAATCCCCCTTCCCCACTACCTCCACCAAATAAGTGTATTTATGTTACTGTACATGGTGAAAAAATAGCCATATGAAAGGAAGAAAGTGAAAAATACTTCTTTTTTCCAGTTCAATTCTGTAGGGGTAACCTCTGTTAGTCATTTCAGAACACTTTCATACATATATGTGCTTGCAGATGAGTATAAGCAATGGCAAACTTTAGGCCATATGAGGTGGCAGGAATATAATTAGTATTTTTCTTTAGGTCAGGAGAGGACAAAGCACCCAGTATGTTTCCAGTCTACACTTCACACCTATCTCTTGCTCACATCTGAGAATCGCCTACCTAGAAATGGAGGTGACACTTTCTATCAGCAAAGACAGGAAGGGAGATGTTGATACCAAGAAGGGTAGAACTTTATGAAGACAGTAGCGACTGATGTGTGCAAAACCCTTAGCACAATGCCTGACCCATGTTAGACACTCAACAAATGATGCTCTTTGATTACAGGTTTGGTCTCTAGGTTGATGTAAATCTGACCAGTGGGGAAAACTCATTTCCTCCATCCTGCTGGCTACTCTTAATCAGAGAAAACTCCCAGAGGATCGTTTTTTCAGAAGAGAAACCATAGTAGAGCAGCTCAAGATTAAATTTAATGTAACTGTTTATCAAGCAACTGTGCTCACAGGTAAGAAGGATAGCTTATTTAAAGGAGATGAGATCAGGGACATGGTATATCTCCTCTCCCTCTCCCTGTCCTTTCTGACTGAAAGAAAAAACATTACTATAATACCTAAAGTAGCTGAACTCAGGGACCCCAAGGTGTAAGGGACTAAAAGAAATGCAGATAAATAGTTCAACTTCAAATTCGGATTCCCATCTAAACTTGCTGACAAAGAGATTCTGTTTCAGATTTATACACAGAAAACCTATTCTACTCCTGGGATGGTCAATAAATTAACTTTTTCTTTTCTACCAATTGCTGGTGAAAGACATTTTTACCTGAATTTATTTGTCAGTTCTTTCAATTTTCATTCAGAGTCTTCCAACCTGACCTGACTTGGTCCCTGTTCCTAACACATTAGAATTGTAGCAGAATTGAAAGTAGTCAGGAACAAAATGCCAACCTACTTCTCTTAGATGTAGGAATCAGATAGCAATTGACAGGATTGTTGTTTTCAACCTTCTGCTTTAGTCTTTTCTGGATTTTATAATAACACATCACAGACTGTGTGCCTTTAACAATAAAAATTTATTTTCTCAAAGTTCTGGGGCTTGGGTCTAGATTAAGGTGCTGGCAGCCTTGATTTCTGGTTAAGGCTCTCCTCGTGGCTGACAGTCATATGACTTCTTGCTCTGTCCTTACACGCCTTTCCCCCGTGTGCTTATAGGAAGGCGAACAATAGCTGATGTTTCTTCTTCTAAGGACTCTAGTCCTGTAAGATTAGGGCCTCATTTAAGATTAATTATTCCCCCCACTCCAAAGATTAATTACCTCCTTAAAAGTCCTGTCTTCAAATATAGTCACATTGGAGATTAGGGCTTCAACATAGGAATTTTGGGGGTTATAATTTAGTTTATAACACCACCGGAACCTCCCAAATCTAGACTGGCATATGTGGCAAAGATTTCTTTCACCAGATGCACTAGCTTGTCATTGCTGCATAATAACCACTCCCAAACTCAGTGGCTCACAACAATTATTTATTAGCCCCAGGGTGCCCCAGGGTCAGTTGGAGTTCAGTTGAGATAGCTGGTCTGCTAGGATTAGGCAGCTGGGGCAGCCATTGTGGCATGAGACATTGGGATTCTTGGTATAGGAAAAAGAAGTTTGGGTAAAAAGTACTATTTAATACTGCAGGAAACTTCATTTATCTTGGGTGCATTTTTCTTATTATGTGAACATACAAGAGATTGAGTCCCTAGGGTCCCATCCTCCCAAGAGCTGAGCTGGGGAAGAGTTCTGAGCAGTTGTAATACTGTCCCTAGTCAATAGTGGTATGATATCCAAATAAGTAACTTGTTGATTTAAAAAAATTATTAAATTTTATTTTTTAAAACCTCAATCTTTATCAAGGAGAAACACAATTTTAGCTTTCAGCAGGTAATGGGATAGGGTCTCGCATGAGTCTGTAACTTAGCAAAGGGTAAACTCTATCTTGATTTTCCTAGTGTAGTAAGACTGTAAGAAGATGAGCAGATGGAGACAAATCTGGAGTGGTATGATAACATTCTGCTGCACAAATTAAGTTGGTCATTGTTCTGAGAATAATAGCTGATATTTTGAGCACATACCATGTGTTGAGGTTGCTCTAAGCAGGTACTGCTCTTGCCCAGTTTTTCAGGTAGGGAAAACAAAGCACAGCAACTTTAAGAAACTACCCAAGGTCACAGAGCTAATGCGTGACAGGGTTGGGATTTGAACCTGGACAGAATGATTCCAGATCCACCCTCTTAACCACTATGCTATTCTGACCTGATGATTCAGGAAATTGCCTGCTTCTGAAATAGATTTATTGTAAGAAAAGGGACAATTTTAGAAAATATCTGGTCCATTTGTTCAAAAATATGTAAGAGGACATCATTTCCTCTGAGAATCAAGAGTAGGTTACTATGGAAAAGCATGTGAAAAATTCAAGACAAGAAAAGGCTGCGGTAAAATTAAACACAACAACTAAATGATACCAGCCTGAAGGGAGCAAATAGAATACTTGAAATCATGGAAAATGGGATAAAGGACAAATTTGAAAAATGGTTCTGAAGTATAACTTCAAAGAATAAAGTATTAAGAATTATAAGCTAAAAGTTGGTTGGCATGTCTCTCTGAGCACTCAGCTAATATAACAACTCTGTGAGGTAGGTATGCTAATTTTTCTCAGTTTATGGAGGAGGGAATTAAAGCACAGAGTGGTTAAGAAACTTTCCCACAGTCACACAGTTAATATAATGTTTGTGGTAAAACTAGAAAGAAGTTGGCAAATGCAAAGACTGACAGGTGAAAGTGAGTTCAACTCAGCAAAAGAAAGTTTATTAGAAAGAGAGAAGCTTAAAAGATAGAGAGAGAGAGAGAGAGAAAAAAAAAGCTGTAACAAAACAAAGGAAATTCTTTGAATTTACAGAAATATTACTATATATAGTAAGATAGAGTCCTATTTGGACTGGCCATTCTAACCTGGTATCAAAGGTTAACAATTATAGAAGGGCCAGCAATAAAACCCTATGATTAAATGAGAGAGAAAGGGGAAGGATGAACTGGAAAAGTGCCTCATAATGTTTGTTCATACTTAAATGTTAGGGCTGTGATTTCCCCCTGCTTTTTAAGATCAGAGACAGGATTCAGAATGAGACAGACATACGCTTGAGTCGAGCATCTGTAATTCACTGTCTGTGAGATCTTAGAAGATTTATTTAATCTCCTGAGCCTTAATTTCCTCCCAGGTAAAATGAGAATATTAATACTCAGTGGTGGTGTAGCATGAGGTTTTAGTGAAATAATTCATGTGAATTGCAGAGCCCCTAGCTAGTAATGAATCAGGAAAAATGAGTATTTTTATTTGTAGGAAACACTGTGCCCCTTTGTTTTCCTTTATAACCCAATTTCTTTATAACCCAAGTCAGATAGTCAGAATCATCCCCAGGCTTTTGGATGGAGTTACAGGGAAAGAAGCGCCACCTTCCTCTGACAGCTCTGCCTCTAAAGATGCACAGGGCTGGCTTAGAGCCCAGGCAGTGGCCTTTGGAACCACAAAGGTACAAGCTACCTGGGATAAAGTTAACTCAAAGGAAAATGAATGAGAAAAAAGGAACACTCATCTACTGTTGGTGTGAATATAATCTGGTACAGACTCTATGAAAAACAGTGTGGAGATTCCTTTTAAAAAATAAGTGTAGATTTTGGCTAGGAATTTTTAGGGGAAAATTCTTCCTTCCTCTCTTTTTCCCCCTCCTTCCTTCTTTCCCTTTTTTATTTCTCTCTCTCTCTCTCTGAATAATCGTATTTTGTAGTATATATTTGACAGCTCCACTATCAAATCCTTCATCAACTAATGATTGATCTCAGCCCCATGCCAGGTAGTCTCTCAGGGCTTCGGTGTGAACGGATAAGATAAGGTGACAACCTTTGTGGTACTTACACCCTAGAAGAGAGTGTAAGCTCAGGACCCTGCTCTTACTATCCCACTGTTCTAACAGATACCTTGCAATGTACAGTATAAACAGCTTTGTAAGGCAGAGAAGCATACTAGGCAATATTTTATGTTTGGTTGCTATTATTTACAATTCAAAATAGGGAGAAACTGTGGCATATTAAATTTTCTACTTGGAAAGGTTAATGATTGTATCTGGGTCTGAATATGTCAGCTAGTTCATTTTTGTGCACATAGAAGAGGAGGATTTCATGAAGCTTTGTTAAGGTGATTTGTATATATGTTCTCGTTTAATTCTGCTCACTCTCCAGAATAAATTCCATGCAGCTGATATTATTTCTATTTTCAGGTAAATTGGTTAAAACAGCCATTGTTTCCTGATTTTTTCACCCAATAGCAATAATTGTTTTCACCCAATAGCAATAATTTTTTTCACCCAATAGCAATAAATGTATTTTTGCTGGGTATATAATCCTAAAGACTGCATTTTCACCCTCCGATGCCATGAAGTCTTGTCATATCACTATATTCTGGTCAATGAGATTTAGAGTGGAATTGTCAGGAGCGACTGATGGCAAACTTTTAAGAGAGAGCTGGTGTATGCCTTTCTTCCTTCTATTGTTCTCTTCTTTCCCTTGCTGCCTAGAATATGGATACCGCGTAGGACCATGGTGATGAGAACACATTCCAGGATAACAAAATTAAGAAACAAGGAATTCTGTCCCTGAAGACATCATCCTGACCTTCATATCAGCCTTGGGCTGCATATTTCTGAATTTCTATACTAGAGAGGAATGCTTCTGTCCTGTTTAAGGTACTGCTACTTATTTTTATTTCTTCCCTCCCTGAAGTCTGCCACCAAATCTCATCTACCTAATATATTGAGCCTCAGAAAGGTAATATGACTGATAAGAGGCATAATAAAGATTTGAATCTAGTGCTTTGCAGTTGATTAATAGTGACTGAATAAGGAATGGTATTTAGAATAAGGGGACTACAGTATTATATACAACAAATCAAATTACTTGGCTGATTTTTAGAGATCTTTTATTTTGCCCCTGCTCTACCCATCATATTTCCCCCATAATTCTGTAGCATACACTTCTTTGTTTAGACTGGCCTCCTTATGTCCCCTCATTTATCCTAGTCTAATTTATGCATCTAAGCTCACTGAAGCACTAGCAGTTTTTACATGAAGCAATCATTGAAAGACTGAGGAATATTTTAAGCAAGAGAGAGAACTAGGACTTGGGTTTAAAGATAAACAGGATTTGGATGGATGGAGGTAACAGGAGAAAGACTTGGAGATATTATCAATTTTCCATCCAAGGCAGGTCCCTGGGCAATCTATCATGACTCTCAGTAATTAAATTTTATGTGCTAGGGAGACCACATTAACATTATGAAAGAGACTGGTGAATGGGCTGCTCCTTTAATAGTAATGAAACCTCTCAAGACTTAACTTTGCCTTCATTAAGTCATTTTAAAGGTTATGAAGACAGTGTAGATTATTGCTATTGGATATCCTGGAGTTGCCCTGGCAATTAATTTCATGCTAAAATGGACAACAGAGCAGTGCGCATACGAATTGCTGATTTAAAAATAATTTTTTCATATGTACTTCAGTTGTATCTGTCATTCTTGTTTTTGGCTTTATGACACACATTCATAACTGAGACTTTTGGCTTATTTTTAAATGTAAGGAGAAAAGGCATTCAAAATTACTGGTGTCTTTGTGGTGGGCATGGTGTGATAACATAAATTTGTGGAAGTAAGAACCTATCCCCCTAAATCATACACAGTGTTGTATATTGACATTATCTCAATAAACGAAAACAAAACAAGTAAGCAAAATTTGCTATTTATTCTCTCTTGATACAGCTTTTGAATGACAATAACTGTGTATGTCAGAGAGTACTTAGTTCTGACCCCTGACTCTACTGTGTGCATGTAGTTGAAACTATAAGTATGTAGATGCTCTTATGTCTCCAGAATTGTGGTGGTGGGTGAGATGATTCAAAAGTCTTACATTATTTGCAAGCATATATCACCCAAGTATATTGCTGGTGATGCTTTGGGGTTTGTAAAAAGAAAGGAAGTCTCCATTGGGTATAAAATAACCGATTAACATTAATTCAAGTACTTGCTTGACAATGTGGGACTAGACAGATTTTTAGCACACACATTTATGGTGTTTAAAACTGTTAATCTCAATACAATTATACTGGTTTCTTGCTTATGAGACATGCAGAGTCCTTAATATGGTGGTATTGTGGATGCCAAAGAGGGGAGTGGAATAGACAGTATCCCAAAACTTTGATTCTGGGACCCATTATCAAGTAAACATATCACAAAAATAATGTTGCACAGAAAATCTTTGGGTAAGTCTGATCTAGGTGATACAGAAGTAGCAAGCATTGTTGCAATGAGGATTCTGGGGCTAATTGTGTGACTACACTATCAGTGTTCTGATCTGTGAGACTGAACCATTACTGAGCATAAAATCATTTCCGTTTTCAGCTCAAATAATATTCTGTAGAAATCTTAGTCCAACCTCCTCATTTTATAGGTCAGGGGATTCAGGCTGAGAGAGGATGAGGAGACTCTTCAAAGTTGAACAGCTTCTTCAAGGGGATACTAGCTCTCAGTCCTCTGAGGCACAGAGCCTACTCCACTGCCTCACTGGGTCTGATGGGCTTCAAGGAGCAGAGTCCAGCAGATGGTACAGTGACAATGCAGATGGGCTGGGTCAGGGGGTATCCTCATCCTTCGGTCATGCTGTGTGTGGCATAGTACAGATGCCTCACCATCCTGGTCATTCAGAACTAGATAAACTCTTGTTTTTAATTTCTTAAAACGTGGAGTCCAAGCCTAATTGTGATTCTGTGGTGGTGCTTTGAACAGTGCAGATGACAATGGGATACTTCTATTCATGGACCATTGGTAATACCTTATTCTTTAATCATTGAGTATGAAGAACAAGATAACTATTTTTCTAGGGTGCACACACACTTTTGGCTCATATTAAGTTTATGGTTAACCCTAGATCTGTTTTTTTTTTAATTCATTCATTTACTCATTCAAGCACTGGGCACAGTCAGAAGCGCGGGAGGGTGAGAGAATTCACCAGAGCCAGAGCAGGGAGCAGAGCAGGCAGAGGGACCGAAGTACACTGCTGAGGGGAGCAGCGGGCGGCAGGAGAGGTCTGTGCGCCATGTGGGACCCTCCTCCGGTGGCCGGGGAGCAGCCGGGGATTGAACCGGCACTGCAGAGGCCGCGGGCAGCCTCACAACCCAGCGCTCAACCGCTGCGCCACTGGGGAAGCCAACCCTAGATCTGTTTTATATGAGTTACTGTTTAGTCAAGTTTTTTCCTAAGCTTAAATTAATCAGATAAGATTAATTTTTTAGTCATAAATGTACATTAATTCTGTTTCATTTCATCTTAGTAGTTTTGGTTCTGAACTCTTGACTGTCAGGGTTAATTTTGAATCTTGATTCATTTATTCTTCCAGATCTTTCCTTATAGTATGCAATAATTACAGATGTACTATGCAAGCTTGTGATTTGTTTTTCAATCTCACTGTGTTTCTCTATAAGGGGAAGGAAGGGAAGCTAAAGAACATTTATTAATTACATATTTGCCATGTACTATGCCCAGTGGTTTTACGTATTTTATTATTTAAACTTTATAGTAAGGGTTTATGATCATAACTTCTGTAAAACAAGAATGAAAATTCTTATCTCAAAGAGTTTGGGAGAAGAATAAATGAGATAATTTAAGTTACACACTTATTACAGTGCCTGGCAGATACTAAGCACTAGATAAATAAATATTTATTGCCTTTGTCTCTTTCCTCTTCCTTCAGCTTTCTTTTGGATAGAGGCACAACAGGAAACTACAACATTGCATTAAAGAACCACTAGTCAGCTTCTACTAGTATTGCTAGCCAGTTTTCACATCAAGTGAATATTATTTGTTGTTGCATCACAGACTAGCTCCAAACTTGGCATTGTATAACAACACACATCTATTTTTTTTCTTCACGTTTCTATAAGTCAAGAATCCAAGCATTACTTACCTCACTCCTCTACTTTAGAATCTTTCCCAAAGCTGCAATCAGGGTGCTGAGCAGAGCTGCATTTTAATCTGAAGACTTGCCTGGGAAGGATCTCTTTCAAGCACTTATGTGGTAAGTGACATGAATCAGTTCTCGGAGGGCTGTTAGATTGCAGACATCAGTTCCTTGTGGGGAATCAGCTGGAGGTCACCTTCGGTTCCTGACCACTTGTGTTTATTGAGGTTGCCTCCTTCGGGCAAAAATGTGAGAAGAACTTGAGTACAAGCAAGGCATAATCTAATCTCAGAAGTGACATCCATTACATTCGCTGTGTTCTGCTGATTAAAAGTGAGTCATTAAGTCCAACACACAAAAGGAGGGAATTACACAATGGCATGAATACCAGAAGGTAGGGATCATTGAGGGCCATGTCAATAGCTGCCTACTACCTGCCATCATCTTCTTTATCAGCTTGAACAGTGTCTTAGTTACCAGCAAACTTGAACTATAAATCCAGGTTTCCCGGATTTTGCTTTTCCTTCAAAGTCAACCCTGAGAGGAATCTTGAGTATTAGATGTAGTCACAATTGTGAGATTGTGAGCTTATTATGTAGCCCTTTCCTCTCTTTAGTTTGTTTTGGAATGAGCCCAATTTAATTGTTACCATATTCGAATAATGAACTGTGGGGTCCTCTTCACATTTACTTGTCCTCAATCTCCTCCCTTTCATTCTTTTAAGTGCTGTTTCATCCTGCTTGGGGCCTTAAATCTTCAAATTGTTCATTCTCAGCAAATTGCTTTATTTCCAACTTCATAGGGAAAGTAAATAATATCAGGTATGAACTCTTTCACATCCTTCTCTCCTACTTGGGGGTTTTAGAGGATGGGAAACCATTTTTTTCTGTTTACTTCTTCTCTAGTGAAAGTCTCGCTTTCCGATTTTGTTTATCCAATTTCTCTAATGGTGGGGTCACTAAAGACACCCTGGTAAGTTGCTCCTTATTTTTTTCAACCTGGTGCTAGAAAATTTGAAAAGTAAATCAAGGAATGAAGATAGACGCCAAGACATTAATTGCTGATAGAGCTGACTGGGAGGATGCCCCTTGACATCTGAGTTGAATGGCCTGAAAGTCAGAATTGGGTGATCCTGGGTTGAGCTGGATGGAAAAGTGTCCTGGAAAAACTGATAGTATTGAAGTGCAGAGGGAAATTCATACTTTTGTGGAAAGGCTCATTCTCAAGAGGATGAAGAGCAAAGTTGAATCAAAATTGCCATTTTCTTCCCCAATTTTCCAGTCAAATACATCATTCCTCCTTTATAGAGGCAGAGGAAGGAGAGGGGTTGAAAGACACCGGAAGTTTATTTTTTTTAAAGATTTATTTATTTATGCATACAAGAACTGGGGTGCAGGCCAGAGGTGCAGGGGGTGAGAGGATTCACCAGAGACAGAGTGGGGAGCAGAATAAGCAGATGTGCTGAAATACACTGCTGAGGGGAGCAGCAGGCAAGACAGGAGAGGTCTGCTGCACCATGTGGGTGGCTCTCTGGTGGAGGATCAAACTCATGCTGCAGTAGCTGCAGATAGCTTCATAGTGCTGATGTTTAACATCTTGTGCCGTCAGGGAGGCCCAAGACCTGCAGTTCTTCTCACAAGAAGAACTGGGATGAAGTTCACCTGGGATGAAGAAACCCACTCCATGTACATCCACTCATGTGAACATTAAGCCTCTCCTTTTTAATTCACTCCTTTTTTTTTTTTAGCCAGTAAGCATACTTGAGCTTTTCCCATATTAATAAAAATGTTTCCCTAAATCATCCTGAAATTGTTGTCGTCAATTTCCTCTCTTTCACAGTCAAGATTTTTGAAAAACGAATCTGAATTTACAGAATCTCATCACTCATTTCTCAAGTCAATGAATAAATCATGAGTATGTAGAACTTGCTTTGGTGCCTTCCTACTTGCCCAAACCAGGAAACAACCTATGTTAGTTTTAATTTGACCTAACTTCTCATTAGCACTTGACACTCTTGGCTCGTACCTTCCTCTGGAAGGAATCATTTATTTTTAGGCCATCTTGCTGATTTCTTTTCCTATGTTTGATGCTTTCCAGGGTTCCTCTCAGTTTTGACTAGTCCCATTCTATTTACCCTCCTTGGGAGAATTTATTTTCCTTTCGCTTTAATTGTCATTATTATTATTTGCTCCTGAATATTCATCTTAAGTCCAGCCCTGTGTCCTGAATTCTAGATGCATGATGTACATTGCCTATGGGACATCTCACCTGAGATACCCATTTCCCTCATCACCTGTGGTTCAGACCCAACTTATTTTCTGGTTATAAGATCTGTTCATCTTCTTGATTTGCCTGTTTTGGTCAGTGGAACTTCACACACCCAGTGACTCAGAACACTGACAGAGTTATTCTATATTCCTTATTGATCTTAAGATCTTGTGGGTTAGGAATCTATGAGCCAAATAATAATCAAGTCTGTGTTTTCTTTCCTTTCCTTTCCTGTGTTTTCTTTCCTTTCCTTTCCTTTCCTTTCCTTTCCCTTTCCTTTCCTTTCCTTTTTCTTTCCTTTCCTTTCTTTCTTTCCTTTCCTTTTCCTTTCCCATTGCTAGCATTTTAGTTTAGGTTTCTACATTTCTTTAATGGACTGTTTCAAGTCTTTTTCCTGGCCACCTCAACCCCACTGCTGTTCAGGTAAAATTTCTGAAATAAAATTATCACTAAATTACTCCCCCATTTAAAATAGCCCAGAGCTCTCTATTCCTTACAAAATAAAGTCCAATCACTCTTGCATGGCTTTAAAAAAATCTGCTCCTTGATATGTCACAAGCCTTTTCTCTCTCATTTGTTCATCTTTTCTCCAAATATTTATTCATTGGAGGAACTAAGGGAAAACAATAGTGAATGAAACCAAGCATGAGCGCTCTTTGTGGAATTTATTACTTATTAGGGAAATGTCTTTCTAAAAACATCCACATATGAATATGTTATTATTCCAGCTTTTATGTTGGAAAGTTAGAGGATGTCACGACAGCTGTTAATGGGAGTCTCGTTTAGTCTGGGAAGGGATGGATTTTTCCCAAGGAAGAAAATTTTGAGATATGATCTATAGGCTAAGTAGACATTAATGAAGTAAAAGGAGTGAGAGTATGGCTCATGGAAGCCCTTCAATGAATGTGGCTGCCATGTTGGCAGATATAAAGTTGAAAAGGAAGACCGAGGTGACATCATGCAGAGCTTTTGAGGCTATCTTAGCATTTTGTATTATATATAGAGTATTATATTTATTATGTTATGTTATATTATATACAATGGTATGGTATTACACACTATACATATAATGTCTTGCAATCAATGTTATCCTTGATTCAGTGAAATAGGTTATATTTGGAAGTTAGAGCCAGCAGGGCTTGCTGATATGTGGTATCAAGTGTGACAGAAAAGGAGAAATTAAAGAGGAGTTTAGTCATTGGATACACTGGTAGCCAATGAAAGTACCTTTTGTTATTTCTATTGCTCACCTATAATATTCATTTTTGGGAGCTGGTAATAGATATTTCATTCATTGATATGACACATTTTTATTGAACTCCACAAAATATTAGGTAGAGAGATAAGAAGGTGACAAAGACTTAATTCAGCACTTATCAAATGTGAAAAGAGAGACCATCTAAACTAGTAATTGAACTTAGTGAAAGGTATGTGTGAAACTCCATGAAAATATAGAAGGTATAATTAACTCTGCTGCAGGGAGCACAGAAGAATTCATCAAGAGTGTTCTAGTTAATTTTTAGAGGATAAGAAAAAGGCTGAGGACCTCCCTGGTGGTGCAAGGGATTAAATCTCAGCACTATGAAGCTATCCGCAGCCACAGCAGCACAAATTCAATCCCTAGCCAGGGGAGCTACCCACATGGTGCAGCAGACCTCTCCTGACATGCCCGCCCACTGCTCCCCTCAGCAGTGTATTTCAATAGAGCCACCTGTTCTGCTCCCCACTCTGTCTCTGGTGAATCCTCTCACCCCATCCCCCACCTCTGGCCTGCATCCCAGCTCTTGTATGCATAAATAAATAATCTTTAAAAAATTAAAGAAAAAGGCTGATAGGGAAGGGAAGAACACTGTAGGCAGAGGGAGCCAACTGTGCAAGATGCAGATATGCGGAGCAGTAGGATATTTGCTTGTGATTTTCCTTGATGGCATCACATCATGTAGGCTTCCTTCACTCTTTTTCATTTTTTTTTTGTCTTCTTGTCCCTCTAACTGAATGTTTCAGATCATCTGTCTTTGAGTTCACCATTTCTCTTTCTCTCAGTTTAAGTCTGCTGTTGAGGCTTCTTATTAAATTCTCTAGTGATTGTATTCTTCAGCCTCAGGATTTATTTATTTATTTATTTATTTATTTGGCATGGCTTCCATTTATTTGTTGACCTTTTGCTTTTGCATTGTTTCCTTGATTTTATTTAGTTGTCTGTTTGTTCTTGTAGTTTGCCAGACTTCTTTAAGGGGATTATTTTGAATAATTTGTTAGACCATTTATTGGATCTCCATTTCTTTCAGGTCAGTTATTGGAACTTTATTAGTTACCTTTGGTGGTATCAATTTACCTGATCCTTCCTGATTCTTGTATCCTGTGTTGGTATGCAAACATTTGAGTTAGTGATCTCCTCTTTCAAACTTTATAGGTTTGCTTTGGCAGGGAAAGACCTTCCCAAGTGAGTTCAGCTTAGGGTACTAGTGGGTCAGTTAGTAGGATTGGCAGGTGGGGTTTGCAATCTGTATCTCTAGTTGGGTGAGGCCACTGTGCATGCTCTGAGATTAGGTGAGGCCACTGGCTAGTGTACACGGTTGGGTGGGCCAGCTGGCCAGGTTTCATGTGCAAAGGAGACCTTGAGTGATTCCCTGGAGTGGGGCTGTTGTCTGTGGTCAGTGGGGTCACTACCTGGGCTCTGCAATCAACTCTGGTCAAGTAGGGGTGCAGGCTGTGTTCACTGTCAGGCAAGTGGCACTGACTGAACTTTGTAATTGAACTAGAGCCCTACCTACAGGGTGGGTACAGGGTGGGCTGTAGGCTTTGCAACTACTCCTAGTCAGATAAGTCCTTAGGTAATATACCCCAACTGGATGGTACAACTCCTGGAATCTGCCATGAGTCTGTGGGCCACAGATTGAGCTTTTTGGTTGCAGAGGACCTCAGGCTGTTGTATGTGATCAAGTGCAATCACAGAATATGCCCTGAAGTTGGGCGGAGCTGCTGGCTGGGCTCTTTGGTCTGTCAGGGTCTCCAGCTCAATTGTGTAGTTGGGTGGGGTTGGAGACTGTGCTTCATGATTGACCATGATCATTGTCTGAGTTCCCTGATTGGGTGGGGTTTCAGGTTATGGTCCAGAGCCCCTGGAGTTCCCTGCATGGGCCAGGGCGCAGGTTGTGTTCAGCCATGAACAGGGCTGTAGACCGGCTTCCCTGCTAGGCAGGATACAAGGGCTTCCCTGCTAGGCAGGATGGTAGTGGTCTCAAAGACTATGCAGAACTACTGTTAGGCAGTGCCAGAGATGGGGTTGCTGACTTGGCTCTTTGCCTGGATGTGCTGTAAGATGTACTCTTTGGTTGCCCGGCGTCTGTGGCCATGCTTCTAGAGGAGTATGATGAGAAGCTATGCTCAGCTGTTGGGCAGGGCTGTGAATTTGCTCCCCTGCCCTGGCAGGACCACAGAATGAAATCCACACAGGTGTGACCAGTTGACTTAGAAGGTAAGTCAGGTAGAATGGACTGGGATAGTGGGGAAGTAGTTTCATTCTGCAGATGGGCAGAGCCATTGGCTGGATATCTCCCCAGGCGCTGCTGTAAGCAAGAACTCAGTCCACCGTGATCTGTACTCTGGTTGCTATGGGTCCCACTCCCCTGTTCATCACTATCTGAACACTGGTGGTTGACCTCCACAGATTCCCTCAGTGAGCCCCTTCATGTGTGACTGGTGTGGGCCTCCTGGGCAGTGCCCAGTGATGCTAGAGAGGCTACATGTCCACCTTGGACTCTCTTTTTCCCACTGGAGAAACCTTCTGGGTGTGGCCCTGTGCTGGCTGGGGGAGGGATTATGAGTTCACAGTGAAGTCACTCTTCTGACCTCCCCAATGTGCTCCTTTCTGGTACCTATGCTCCAGGAGGTGCTTCAGCCTCACCCCCAGTTCTGGAATTTTCACAAAGGTGTCTTGCCTATGAACAGATGCTAGCTGATCTTCTTGTGAGGAAGACTGAAGTTGGAAATGTCACCATCTTGATCCAGGATAAGAAATTTCTACAGAAAAGAGATTGATTTGCCTTGTTTAAACCAGTTTCTCAAGCACATCTTACCAGGAAACTCCCTTTTCATAGAGGCTCTTTTAATATCCTTGCAATCCACTTCGAGAAACATCATCTGAAATTGTTTCCTAATGTAAAACAGTTAGAACCCCATCAAGTCGATTCACTTCCATTTTCCCTATTAAATTTTAATGAGTAATTATGAATGAGTAATATACAATTTATATTGAAAGGAATATAACCTTTATAGAAATATTATGATATATTTCCTATAATATTAAAACTATGTTCACTACCCTAATTTTATGTTATATATTTTAATAATGTATTTAAAATTATATTTCACCCTAAGGAGAAATGTTTAACTGTCACTCACTTATTCAAGGTGTAAAAAGGCCTGAAGCCTTATTCACAGCTCCTGTTTCATTCTTGCAACTACCTTCTGTTGCTGGAGTTAAATATCTTTGCTGCAAATTCTAATGGCAATAGCAAAGGATTCTAATCTTATGCTCTGATAATCCTAGGTTGCCAAGATTTGTGAATATGCTCTGAATGTAGGAGAATTTTCCATTCGAACAGCTGCTGTCTGCTTCCTTCAACTTGGCATTCATTTGGAAAACAGTTATTGAATGCACGTGGCATTTAGATGGGCAACGGGGTGGCTCCCTTGTGATGGTCTTTTTCAGATAGAAGATTCTTAGTCACCTGATTCCTTATAACAGCAGTGGTGTTATTCATGAATTTCATTTCAGACTTATCTAGGAACTTGCCAGTACAATAGGATAGTTCTGTTTCAGCTTTTCTTTAGTGCTAATGTTAAATTTAGTGTTTACATTTTTTTATCCGACTGATACTTTAAGTACCAATTACTTTTCTTTTTTTCTTACTCAAGTTTTTAAAGTATTATAGACAAATCAGGGGAAAAATATAGTTATTTGTTTGTTTTGCTTTAAATCAGTTCCCAGGAATATAACACTATGGGCAGTAATCAATTCTGCAGGGGAACTGACCTCCTTCCTGTGGATGCGTCTGGCCTATTACTGCCCACATGATTTTCCCACTCCGGGAATGCTTTGCTGATGCTGCAGAGTTGGGTGTTGTGGAAATCCACTGGGTACCCATGTATGTGTATCCTGGAAATGTTGGAACATTAACACTGCAGGAATGAACTTGATCAATGGGCATTGAGAAGTGATAGATAAATATTTCTTCCCTCTACTGACAGTTCTAAAACATATTTCCTATGGCTTGTCGACAGTCTTTCAGAACCGAGAAGGCAATTGTCTTCTGTAAAGACTAATTTGATTATCTGTATTTGTAATGCCTCTTCCTCTTGGCCTGCTTTGCTACCACTTCACTCCTACCTTCTCCTTTGACTGGTGAAGTACTTACATGTGAATCTTAAGCTCTACTTCCAGGGGAACACATGTTAAGATAATGACTAAGCTAGCGTTATGTTTACTGTATTTCACAAAATATGAGAAAGCAGAATCATTTTGTGATACAGGGCTTATTTATGAGGTGAGTTTAGAGAGCTATAAACATTGAATCAAATTTGTGTGTACATACAACAATTCTCCTTTTAAAGAAGTCAACCTGTCTCAAAAGTACATGCATTAATACTTCTTCTCATCCTTGGTCTTTAAGACCACTCCGAGGAGCTGGAGGTGAAACTGATTCTGGGAGGTGAAGGACAGTCATTTGGTAAAACTCAAGAGATTCAATGAATGACCCCATCCTTGTACTGAACTCATGCCCTTAACTGAAGGGCACAATGGGATGGAGACTCTTCTTTTCTGGGGGAGTCTGTGTTCTGACACAGGAACATGGAAACATGTTTTACTCCTGCTTTGGTACTGATCTCTATTTTTATCAGGAGTGTCACAACCAATTCTCACAAAATCTGTGTGAAGGGGAGTGGTGTCAGCTCTGATTTATAGGTAAGTAGCTGACAGATACTCATATTGAAGAAGAGTTCTGCATGCAAATTCCCATTGGGGGAACTTTTTTTTTTAAAAGAGTTCTATCTATGGTTTTACACCTTTCAAAACTAAGTCAAATCTCAAATTTCCTGTAAAACTTTTCTAGACCATTTATGATTGAGTAAAAATTTTCTCCCTAAAGACTCTAATGGAGCAAATCTGTGTTTTAGAATGTGTTTAAGTTATTTGCCATTGTGAGATCCTTAAATTTAAAGGTAAGTCCTTTTTCATTTCTGAAAGTCTGTTGCTTTGCATGATATTTGAACATAGGCCTTATAGACTTGCCCCTGGTGATCAATTTAAATTTACTCTGAAACTTTCCTTTTCTTGTAGGGAATATTTATATATTATATATATTAATATATATGTGTATATATGTATGCGCATACATATGTATATGTATATATATGTATATGTATATGTATGTGTGTGTGTATATATATATATTCCAGAAAGGTCTATTGGAGATATGTATAAAATCCCATTATAGAGATCAGCAGTTATTTTTTGATAGACAATGAAAACCGGATTTGACCTTCTTTAGCATTTCAGAAAACCGGGAAATTTTACTGCTCATGTGAGAACCCTATAGTAATACTAATGAAATCACATGTTTGCGATCGGGAACATAGATAATTCCATATTGCTTTTCCCTCTTGATTGATACTTTAAAAACAGATTTTAATAAGATGCAACTATTGCATTTCTAAATAGCTGTTCCTTATTGTACTGGATCATTACCTATGTGTTGACAGCTGGAACTCTTGAAGAACTACCGTAACTGCAAAATAGTCCCTGTGTAGATACTAAATGGACTTTCCTACAAGCAGTATCCATTATCGGCTGGCCTATGCCTAACAGTAAAGATGACCTCTGTTGAAGCCATTTATCTCAAGTCTTCGATCTGGAGTAGCTGTGTCCATCTCCTCCCACCTCTATCAACTATGTAGAACTGGTAAAATTGGAATAAAATTAGTGGATCATATCACTATAAATTTCCTGCTTGTGCTGTTGTGCTATAGTTATATATAATGCACTCATTATTAGCAAACTGGTTGAAGGGGATATGGGATCTCTAGGTATCATTTTTCGATTTGCATCCGAATCTATAATGATCTTAAAATAAGAAGTTAAGAAAAATGTCTGGGCTGGGTGGCAAACTCCTCCACTGCAAATAAAATATAGATTTAGTGGAATCCCATTTTGGTTAGGCTTAATACCCAATAAGAAATTTTGTGGCAGAGTTACAGTTTTGAGAAGGTTAAGAAATTCAGTCTACTTAGGTAGAAATCTTCAGATTCTAAAGCTGCATTGTCCAGTAGATCTTTCTGGAATGTTCTGTGCTGTCTCATAACCATCATTCTCATGTGCCTAGTGAACATAGACATATGACTTATGTAACTGATGAACTGAATTTGAAATTTTATTTGATTTTCAGTAATTAAAATCTACATAGCACATGTGGCTAGAGCTACTGTCTTGGATAGTAGTTTTAGAGACCAATGGGTTCAGAAAGCAGGAGGAAACTTTTGGTGCCAGGCTGCTCAAGGGTGTTGACCCAAATCACGTTTATTTATCGACATGGCAAGCTTAGATAAGAAAAAAATTTTGGTTGGAATCTTGGAAGTCATTGAATCAGGTGGTTTAAAAAAAACTTACACCTGGAATGGATAGTTAGATACAAGAGATATTGTTTTTCCCATGACCTAGGGCAATTGTTTTGTGCCGGGGTTAGACATAATAGTGAACTATGGAGGAGAACTGGAAAAGGCCATATGAACATAAATTGTATGTAAACATTACCAGCCAAAATTGAATAGCACTTAATTTTGAATCCCCCAATTGGTATATCACATATTTCCTGAGATTCTTTAGTACCATTGGGCTAAAAAGTATGGTGCATAGAAAGGATTCTGGCTTGCCAGTGACATGGATCTCAGTTGCAGGTGCTGGTACCTCTGACCATAACCATGAGATACTGAGACCCTCTTTAGGGTGCCAATAAGAGGCTTGGATTAGTCTTTATTTAGGTTCTTTCCAATTCTCAGGTTTTGTATATTTTTGTTTTTACTTATTTAGCATGTATAATTCAATGCATCAAATTTAAGACTGATTCATAGGGGGAGACTTTCATTGGGTGAAGTGCTAAAGAATAATATGATTTTTAGCTGTGGAGACTCTTCTCCCCACCCCTTCCCATTTCAAAGTGGAATGCTGGACTAATAGGCAAGAAATCAGAAACCTTCTGTTTGGGGTCTGACCTGGGTTGTGATACATGACTGCAATATTTGATTACTTTTTTAGGTTTGAAAGATTAGGGAAAACAAGCTTGATCTGGGATGATTTATTGTAAAAAATGAATTTTTTCTCAAGTGCCTTGGAGGGTCTTGGCTTAATCGAGAAGTGTGAAGCTTGACAGAGTTTGCATATGTTAAATATATTTAGGCTTAGTAGGGTAAGAAGCTCTGCTGCTGCCCCTTTACGTACCTTTACCATTACTCTAAACAAGTTCCTTCAGAGTCTGTAAGTCTTAACAGAAAAAGGAGATACCTTGTAATTTCTGCAGACTTCTGAGGTGACATTTCTGGGATTTGGTTTTCAAAGGCAAGGCTTTCAAAAAAAGAATGCATGCACACACCTCTTTTTTCCCAGGGATTCGGAACATTTAATTGTCAGTTTCCTAAAGGGCACAAATGGGATGGAGACTTTTCTGCCCAATGAGTGCTCAAGATTCCTGAGACCCTGACTGACTTGTTCAAGGTCCCTCTGCTCTCTCTACTAATTAGACTTTTTCTCTTGAGTTATAACTCTCTGCATTTGACAAATAAAATGGTGAGCAGATGGAGAAGACCGAACTCTTTGAGGGAATTAAGTCTCAGAGATCCCCAAGGAGAGGTTTGGTGAGAGAGGCATTCGTTGTTTCTCAGGAGCTAGGCAGATTTCATTGGAAATTTTCATGGCTAAAAATCTTTACTCAATGGGAGGCTGTAAGCACAGCAACCTGTTCTAGATAAACATAGCTCAGGAAGCAAATTGATTTCACATGCACTGCTTGAGTTCTGTGTTTACCTTTCCCCCTGCAGGTAATTTGGGACTGCTTTAAGTTGAGCTGAGTGCTTGGAGTAGTTGACTTCATGTTAGTGCATTATGGTATATAGACTTCGTTTAGAATTGCGGATTTTATTTTAAATTCTGGATAAGACAACTTGTAGTTTCAGGTATATAGTAGATTGAAACTTTTACCCAGTTCAATTGCTCTACCCACAAAAATGGATGGCTTTTAGCTTTAAGAGGATTAACTATTAACATTAGCAAAGAACATGTGTGACTTGACCTGATGTCTGTACCTGTGGGTTTTTTTTTTTTGTTATGATAAGCAACCTAACTTGATGTCTCAGTTGACTGGGATAGCTGCTGCTTTGTTACTGTGTCACCCTCTTATACTTTGATTTTCTTTCTCCCCACCCTCCTATTTTTGGGCTTGAATTGTGTGTGTGTGTGTGAGAGCGAGAGAGCGAGAGAGCGAGAGAGCGAGAGAGCGAGAGAGAGAGAGAGAGCGAGAGAGAGAGAGAGCGCACATGAGAGCATTGTTTTGGTGGGAGGCAGAGACTAAGAGGAGATCTCTGTATTTTCCTGAGTTTGCTGGCTTGTATCTTTTGATCTATTAATTTTTTTCAGGGCACTTTCTGTCTTGGCCAGTACATATTATCCCTGTTCAGTGATTAAGTTTTATAATAGGGCATAAAGCAGTGTTATGAAGGAATCCAGTTATTTTACTGGAGCAGAAATCTTTTGAAGGTTCAACTTGCATTCATTAAGACATTTTAGAGTATATGAAGAAATTGTAGATGAGTGCTTTGGGATACCCTCAACTTGTGTCCTAGCAATGACTTTTATGCTGAAATGGACAGCAGAGACGGACCTTTATGAATTGTGGGCTGGGGCACATTTTCCACTGGTTATTCTTTTATGGTTCCATATGTATTCTTTGTTTTGTCATTGGAATAAGCTATGTAAATCTAAGAACCACAAATCCAGCTTAAATCATTCCTTTTCTTTGCTATGACCTTCTTTATTAGTAACCTTTTCAAGAAATGAATTTTCTCATGTCCATTTTTCATTATACAGAGAAATGTAAATGAAGTTTTAGGAAAATTGTTCAGTTGTTTCGGAGATATCCAAATGCAAAAGCAGAAAAAGTATTTGTCAGCCATTCAAAAAATTATTCAGATCCTCTGTTGTACTTAGAAACCTTGAAAATAGATTAATTTACATATGACATTTATTATAGCTATTTATAGTTTGATTTACAAAATATGCTCAGCATGCAAACTTGCAGGATGCATACTAAAAGAATGAATACTTAAAGGAATTTTGAGCCAAAGATAAAGTTTAAACTGAACTTTTGCTCATTCAGGCTTGGTTGAAATGTGCATGTCCTTGAATTGGATACCTGATGTCTATATAAAAGATAAATGAATATGATTTTATTAAAACAAATGTTTATAGATTGGAGGATTCAAAAGTAGGTTTTTCCTCATAATTCTTTTACCTCTATCTTTAAATTTGAATCTAGAGTAAATCATATCAGCCACTCTAGGAAACACAGAGAAATGTAAGAACTCTTCTTTTGAATCCTACAATTTGCTTAGAGAGAGATGTCTAGCAGGAGTGAAATCTTCACTGCTGTCAGCAAGACAGTATATAATCACCTGGTAAAATGAGAAGTATGGGTTGTAATTATCAAACAACTTCAGAAAAAGGAGAGAATATTGTGGATTGAAATAATCAGAAGAGTTGTGCCAACCTGAGCAACTTAAATTCAAGTCTTCTAGATTCCCTTAGAATTAAAAAAAAAAAATTAATCCCATCATTCCTTTGATGGAGTTACTTTCTAGAATTCCTTTTAGGTGATTGTTAGTCCTCATTTTATCCTCTGGTCTTAACCTTAGCCTGATATTTTCATCTCTTTTTGTCTGTTTTAGATTTATGTTGAGTAATTTCCTCAGATTTATTATTGTGTATGTCAGTTCTCTCGTTTCTGGTGTTGACTTTGGTATTTAATGTATTTGCTAAATTTTATAATATCTATGGCTATATATATTTTTAATTTCTAGAAATTTTGCTTCTTTTCAATATACCATCTCTCTGAGCTTTTTCCTTCCTGATTTTAATTTGAAATATCATACTGTTTTTTTTTAACTGTTTTCTTTTCATATCTTCTTTTATGTCCTTAATCATTTTAAGGACATAATTATTTTCTAGTCTTATTCAGATTGCTTTATTTTCTGAACTTATTTTTTTTTTTATTTTTTTTTTTATAGAGGCATGTTTTATTTATTTATTTATTTTGTTTGTTTGTTTTGTTTATACATGCACTGGGTACAGTCAGAAGCGCGGGAGGGTGAGAGAATTCACCAGAGCCAGAGCGGGGAGCAGAGCAGGCAGAAGGACCGAGGTACACTGCTGAGGGGAGCAGCGGGCAGCAGGAGAGGTCTGCGCGCCATATGGGACCCTCCTCCGGTGGCTGGGGAGCAGCCGGGGATCGAACCAGCGCCGCAGTGGCTGCGGGCAGCTTCGCAACCCAGCGCTCAACCGCTGTGCCACCGGGGAGGCCCTTCTGAACTTATTAAAGATCTAATTCTGCAGTTTATTGTGGCTATGTGGATGGATTCCTACCTAGTACCCTTATAAAATATTACTCATGGATTTACAGTCACTGAGCTCCAAGTTCATCTTCATGCATACTTTTTCTGTGGGACTCCTGTGTGGCTTGGGCTGGGGCCTTTCAGAGTTTTACACTAGCATTCTAGTGAGAAACTTTTATTTTTATTTCTTGGATTGAGGGTTGGCACATCAAGTGGCTAGTGTAAAGTCAAATCAAAATGCTCTGTGTGGCTCAGACCCAGATATATGCATTTGTAGGCAATAATTTTTTACTCTCAAGATTAGGCTTAAAACAGACA